ACACCCCACAACATCATATATATATATATATGAAGAGAAATGATAAGTTGTGCAGTTATGCTAGCAAAGAAGAACAGGGACAGTTCAATCCTGGCTTAGGCTCGAATCTCACGAATAAAGGAAGCGAAGACAAGCAATGAGCTCCAATTGTGTGTGAGGATGAACAAACAAGAGAAAAAGGAAGTCACAATTTGCAGCTCTATTTCATACAATTGAGCTTTCAAATAAGGGAGGATACAAAAGAGAGCTTCCGTGAGTGGATTAGGTAGCACGGGGATGAAGAATCATGTGAAGCATTGCGAGCGGCTCGATCTTGATCTAAGTTGTGAATGGTGTAAGCGAGCGACTTAAAGAAACGGAGAAATAGGAAGAGTCACAGATTTCGGCTATATTTCGTACAATTGAGCTTTCAAATAAGGGAGGATACAAAAGAGGACTTCGATGAGTTGATTAGGTGGGAAGGGAATGAAGAAGTGAATCATGTGAAGCATTGTGAGTGGCTCACTCTTCGCGTGAGTTGTGTCGGTAGGCAAGCCATATAGAGAAACGGAGAAGCAGGATTCTATTATTCGAACATGAAGTATCGAAGGTCTTCAGAAACTGCAATCCCGTCATTGGTTTTCCAATGAAGTGCATAGGAGATCTTAGTCCACTGCAATCCTATCATTGTTTTTCCAACAAAAGTCATAAGAAGAGTTTTGGAAGTTTTCATATAGTGTGATCTCGTGGTTGCTCTTCCAGCAAAGGACAATGGAAAGAGAGAAGGGCTTGAGCAAGGAAATTGTGATCTTCCGAGACCTTTGTACGCTTCGATCTCATTGTTGCTTCCCGCTAGCTCTAATTGCGACTATATCACGCTACTTACGGTCATGAGAGGGGAGAGGGAGAAAGAAAGAAGCATTTTAAATGGAATTCGAATCTAAGACACTCAAACAGGGAGAAGATGAGTGTTGCTTCACGCAGTCCCTACAAATTAAATTCGTATAGATTTGTAATGGAGAAACGGTCGGGGACAATTATCGGATCCGTAGGTGGGAGCCGTTAGAGTTTTCAATATATTTTACTTTTATTTATTTATTTTTATTGAATTAAGATGGCTAACAATTACTAAATCATGAAAGCCAAAGAGTATGCAGTAATTTACATTCACCTTGACAATTATCAGGCATGCAATAGAAACATTGATCTGCAAGTAACTAAGATAAGCTCGTTCAAGAGTTCTAAAGAAAACGTACCCACGAACAGATATCGAATGTTTCCCAGCAGCATGAGTGACCTCACGGTAACGAGCAAGGCTATCATTAATGCTACAGTTTATGTTTGACTTTGAAAAAGACTCAGAGGCTGATGCAAATACAGCGATTTCCTTTGCACCGTTTTCAACTGCTGCCTCAAATCCCTGAGAATCATTATGTAATAAATGAAGCACCAGAAAATGTTCAAATATATGACCCTCTTGAATAGGATAATGAATACACTTGTCACCTTAAGGTTAGGAGTTAAAACAGGAAGCCTCACACCCTCTATACCTCGAATAGCCTCCATGACATCTTTTGCATCTGCTAACTATGGTTACAGCACAAACAAACGTAAGCGAATAAACAATAAAAATATTGGAAATTGCAAATGCCTTTTTGGCTGTAATTTAAAAAAATTGAGTACTGAATGCCGCTTGAAATTCCATTTAAGAAAAAGGATCCACGGAGCACTCAGCATTAATAATCTACATATGAATTACAGCTAAATTTAAGATAAAGTATCAACAAATACTTAGGGTGGGCACCTCTGCAATAGTTATCAAATAAGCTTATAGTGGCTCCATGAATTTAGGATAGTTAAGCTAGTCTTATTATTTCTGCATTAAATGGTAAACTGACATCCTGGTAAACAAAAAACAAAGTGAGGTGTTCAAATAATGTCATGTAAAATGAGTATTTAGCCCAAAAATTTAATGTATAGGGACATGCTAGAACCGCCAAATCTATAAAATTTAGGATGGTGACAATTCTTCATCAGACAGAAATAAATGTTAAACACAACGATATCCTAACACCAAATTGATGCAAATATACATATTGATTTGGTTCCCTCTAAAGCAAGGTAAAGTTGATTGCTGAGTTGCTGTTAAAAGGCCAATAGATGAATCATTGGATGAGTTAGGTCATGAATTGAGTTTGCTTGGCTACTTGTTTTGTTTGCTATTAACTCCATGGGCTTTCTAAATGGATTGTGAAATGTGCTGCAACAGATAAACGTAATTGGATTTATTTACAATAAATTTAAGATCTCTGCATGGCTATAAATGACAAACGGCTCATCTATTTTCATTAAAAGGTTTGATTGGCTTTACTGATGATTCATAGTTGATTCACTGTTGGTTTTATTTAGTTCTGTTTGTTCACAGGGAACATGACAGTATCAAATATCATTATTTTAGTTCTAACGTTTATTTTCTAGGGCTTCACCAGGGATTTATGCCAATATATTTGCTTCATAAACCGGCCTTAGCTATGATGTTCCCTTCCGGTGGTGAGAAGTTGATTTGATTCCTGGAGAAAACAAAGGGTCCGTTTGCGACGGCGGGGTGAGCGCGTCGTGGGGGCGGGCCGCGACGTGCAGGGTGTTTGGTTCGGCGCCCCGAGAGTGGCGGGGAGCGGTTTGTTTGGGTGGGTGGTGGG